CACCGACGAGTCCTAGAGGGACGAAACCGCTGATATGTTACAGTTAAGTTCATCTTTTGATTGTTAAGAACCTGTTTATATTGATGTAATGGAATACATCACATGTGATCATAATCATAAATTTCACTTACGTTACCAAACATCATGTTGCTTATCTTGATGTATGGCTGTTGCAAGGACACGCAATTAAAACATAATCTTAGTATGTGCACTTTGTACAAAGCCAGCGCAGTGTTGCGAGACACAGAAGAGTTTAAGCAACCGTTAAATAATGTCAGTCAACTGTATATTATATCGAACTAAGAGTGCATTAGAAAAACAGATGTACCAGCGCAGTGTTGCGAGACACAGAAGAGTTTAAGCAACCGTTAAATAATGTCAGTCAACTGTATATTATATCGAACTAAGAGTGCATTAGAAAAACAGATGTACCTTAATCAAATCCTACATTCCATTTTAGTTAAAGTAGATGGACTTGTATCACCAATACAAACTGTAAGCCTGCTGATATTTAAAATTCTTCGAAAGCATTCATATAAGATGGAACTCGTTACTCTTAAGACCAATTCACAAGAAAATGAAAAGAATGAATTCCATTTTTCTACAATGGAGGAAGGTACCAACCCGGATCTCTTCAGTCATGAACAAAGAGAAACAAAATCAGAGGATGATACATTAACGTAAGTTTATGTACAGTCACGTGTCGAAACTCGAGCATTAAGTTTTCAGAAAATATTCATAGAAAAATAATTCACAGGTTCAGCTTGGATCAACTAATGGCAGATTTTCATGAATATAAGGTCAGCTGACCTTTGGTTAGAATAATATAAAGTGATCGTGCGTTGTCCTCTGTAAAATTTGTACACAGGATAGAATTCAGTTCAGTCATGTCATGAATGATCTTGAAGTGTTATTTTTCAGGTCAAAATTTAAGATGTCAACCTTCTTGTAAAACTTTTATACATTTTTTACATACAGTTTTATACAGCCCCACTTGTGCCATTACAAGGGGAAAAATTGATTGGGATATAAAGAAAAGGATTTTTTTTTCATCAAAAGTTTAAAGTGACAGTAACAGCGATTATTTTGATTGATGATTCCATAATCATGATTTTCTAGAACATTTGTTCACATATGTGATTAATATGAAACCATAAATAAGCCTGATATCGTTCACCTGATGTTCTTATTTTGCGCAAATGTCAATAAAACAGGATGGCCGCCATGTTATAAAACCTGATTTAAACTTTTCATGTGGCACTGGTGATTTGCGCTAAAATTAGTATGGATGTTATTGAAAGGAAGTTGACAAAATGTTCCAAATTTCCGACACGATCATGGCAGACACGGCTGTTATATGCATATTATTTATTATTTATGGGTTTGTATGGATAAGAGGTCGATAAGACCCATGGATCTCCCTTCCGTTTCAAGTCGCATACCTAGCCTGTCTTCGGTATTTAGTAGGGGAGAGGCATTCATTTATTAGGTAATACTTTATTATGATCAATCCTGTCTTGTGTCTTCCTATCGTCTGGGGGCTACTTGTGCTCCATACAGAGTAAGTGACAACGCACGCGCCGGAGCAGTGATCTTTCGAGTCGTCGTCGATGGAATAGTATTACACCATCTATAAAGGCACATATAATGTAGAGAATGGGGTTAATGTTGTGTAGGATATTTGTAGTTTAATTTGATTTCTAAGATTGGTGCTAAAGCCTTATTTAATCATGGAATGTTGGTCGTGCATTGTGTAGCGTGCGGTCCAATTATGCATATTGGTATAATTGTTTGTAATAATTTTCTGCATATAATTTAAATCGTACTTCCAAAATCAAACATGTTTAATCGGTATGTGGAAGGTATTAAGGTGTTATGTTTGAATATAATTGATTTTATAACTTCAGTGGATGAATATATTTATTGTATGGAAGCCTATAGGTAGCAAATGAGGATCTCTTTGGAAGCAATCACTTTCTAATATTTCTAAGGTATTGTGGATCCACAGAGAGCGATCATGTACCCTATTGAGAATCATATAAAGCAGATTGGAGTAAATTTAAACGTCTCAGTACCACAGAGATATGAAAACACAACAAAAAACGTCGGAAAGTCATGGAAAATGGTAACTGTGATTTCTATCCCCAAACTGGATAAATACACGACAAATCCCTCCAGTTACCGCTCAGTATCATTTACGAGTTGTGTAAAACTCTAGAGTGGTTGATAAATTCAAGACTAATTAGGTATCTAGAACCCAATCACATAATATCACCTACAGAGCGGTTTTAGATCTAAGCAAGGTACCAAGGATCATTTGGTTAGACTTGAAATCTTTGTGCGTGAGTCTTTTCTAAAGAAGGAAGGCTTGGTTCCTGTTTTCTTCGATTTGGAAAAGGCTTACGACACAACATGGAAATACGGCATAAAGAAATAGCTGCACGATATAGGTATTAGAGGTAATCTACCAAATTTATTTCAAATTTTCTATCAGATAGAGTATTTCAAGTCCGGAATAGAATGACCTTTTCCGATGTTCATCATGCAATTTTTTCTGTGGTGAACCCATTCCTGTTGTTGAAAACCAAACAAATTTCGACAGGAAATTATTGTTCCTTCCACATATAAAATACCTTAAAGCAGGAAATGGGTGTATTACATTGCAGTATTTTTTCGGTTACACTTTTTAGGCTTAAAATGAACAGTATTGTCAAAACATTATCCCTCTATATACAGACTTATGAACCATCACTTTATAGCCGTCGGAATAAATTGGCTTTGCAATACACCATTCAGCTTAAGTCAAATCCTTCAAATCCTGCTTTTTCACTTGTATTTGATCCAAAATATAAAAAACTTGTCTCAAAACAAACCAAAAGACCTTTTTTACCATTCGGTATTCGGATTTCCGCTCTTTAACAAAACACAAATATTGATATTGATCAAATTCAGTCATTTGGAACGAAAGAAATTCCACCCTGGCTCTTGAATTCACCTGAAGTTGACTTTTCACTTCACTCCGTTAAATCAGACACTGACAGTTGCAGCTTTCATTCATCCTTTTCGAAATTGCAGTTAAACTATAAAACATTTCTAAATTTATATACTGATAGTTCAAAAGATAATGATAAGGTTGCCGCGGTCATGGTTTCACAAGATGAAGCGTATGGATGCAAGCTACCCAATAGCGCCTAACTATTCTCAGCGGAAGCGCGAGCTATCTGCCTCGCCCTTGAATATATTCAAACAAAAAAAGTAATGAGGTCCTTTCAGACTCTCTTTCTTACTACAAAGTCTTAGCAATAGAAACATCGAAAATATTTTCATTTGTAATGCATTAATACTATATCATGAACTTGCCTACATTCGTGTTGCTTTTTGCTGGGTTCCTTGGAATACCAGGCAATGAAAAAAGAGATCGTGCCGCAAAGGAAGCTTTATCGCTACCACCTATTGTTTTTAAACTTAATGTTACCGATATTAAATCATTTATTAAACAAATCTTAACAGCTCAATTGCAGGAAGAATGGAATCAGTATATCGATAATAAATTGTGCTTCGTTAAACCTATTATCGGTGAATGGTCTCCGTGCTATAGAGTCAACCACCAAGGCGAAGATGTCCTAGCCTGTCTTCGGATGGGCCATACATACCTTACACATTCATAAATGTTGAATTGCGAAGATAATCCTCGGTGCATAGGATATAATGAGCCATTCACCGTTTAACACTTTTTATTGGACTGCATTGATCTTCTGTCAACTCGAGAACGTTACAAGTCCAAAAACCCTTTTTGAAACTGTTAAGATTTGTAAAATTCTAGGTTGGTCTATTTAATATTTTATGATAATATACCCATTTAAGATTTTTAGCATTTGTCTTTTTCTGTCTGTGTAACGCAAATGTAGAGAGTGATTTTGTCTACCTAACTACTTGGGCTGACCTAGGTTTATATGGCGGGAAGCAGAAGACGTTTACTCTTCCGGAACACATGGTCTTATTCTCTTTTTACTTTTTCAGGAGTCTCAATGTGAATATTTCATTTGCTTAGATGTCGCCTTTGTTTTATGGAATTTGGATTTGAAATATGATATGTTGGCATGTTGGTATTTTTATGGTATTTTGCCGGCGATATCAAACCATTATACTCATTTACATAGTTACTTTGTAGCAGGTTCTAATTCAACAGCAATCACCATGCTAATGTAAGTACATTGACAAAACAACTTGTCTTGATGACTTATTGTCTTTAAACAACAACGTTTATTGACCACATCTTTTGTATATATACCCACAAGAATTGAAAAATCCGAAAGATAATCATATCCAGTAGTATTTGGTCATTTGATCCGAAGGATCAGGATGACATAAAGCCATCTTCGTTCGTCCGTCGCCGTGCGCCGCCATTAAAATGACTACTTTTCAATGAGACCCCGGGTGCTGATATTGGTATCAGGGCTACGAAGTTTGTCAAAATGAAGGTCTTGACATACATTCAAGGTCACAGAGGTCTAATAAGTTTGTTTATATGTTTGACCCTGACCCACTTCCAAGGTCATAGGTGTCAAATTTTGGTCTATTTTTACACGACTTCTTTCAATAACCAAAGGGCCCAGGGTGCTGAAATGAATTACCTTGGCCCATTCCAAGGTCACAAGGGACAGCTGTTAAAAGTCAATCTCTGCACGACTTCTTCTCAATACCCAAAAGACCCAGAGTACTGATAATCGGCCCTTACCATGCGGGATGAAGAGTTACCAACTTTGTCCTTGTGATTGACATTATCTCTTTATTTTATGTCAAAGGGATCAAATCTTCAAATTTCTTCTCTTAGGTGAAATGAGTTAAGATGTTACATTCCTTTTTCCACAAGCTACAGATCTGGAGTAATGGCATTTATGTAGTAGCATTTACAAAGAATATTATTTCAACCACAAACATCAGCTTTTATACGGCAATCAGCGTGAATTATATAACATGTTCTTATTTGCAGAGATTTTCAAGGCTTTATGCTTCTCATACCAACGTATATTGGGATTGGGTTTCTCGGACTTCCTTATATGGTCAAACTACTTGGGTTATGGGTAAGTATATAATACATTGTTTTGCTTTTCCCTCAAGACTAAATAAAAACTTTAACAAGTTCGTTTCTGAAATGAAAGCCTTGCACTTTCATTACCGATAAATTTGTTTCTTGTTTCATACATGTTCGAAAACACAATATTTAATCAACATGCCAATTAAATAATTTGGCTAAAAAGTAATTAAATAGTTTTGCCTTCACCTTATAACTGAAACAAATTCGTATAACTAGGTAAATATGAACTTACCTTCGAGTATATATGTTCAAAGGTTTTTTTTTATTTTGTTTGTCTCCTCAGGAATCATATCTAGTGATCTTTCAATTAAGTATGCATATCATTTTATGTTAATGGGTCATTCAAAATTTTGAAATGTTATTTCAGTAATGTACAGTGAATGCATTCCTGCGTTCAAAGATATAATAATCTTGATAATTATGCAGTTATATGATAATATAACTAGAGACGATACATTGATATGTTTTTTGTATTCAGAAACCGTAACACTTCAGGATAAGCAATGAACTGGTTTTTTCTTCTCAAATTCCAGCTCAAGTAACAATGGCTTCACGGGGATTTCCTTCGTTGAAATAAAACTTAATTGAAAACTTGTATTTTTTCTAGAATAGTAAAAGTAATTTAACTTTACATTTATAAGGCATTCAAAGTCTCAAAATGACCCAATGTTATCAAATTACAGAACATTTAAAATTAAATAAAAGAATTTGAATTAAGATAACCGGCGTATACACAAACTGTTCATTTTATGCTAATATTTTTACTGGTAGGCATGCCTAAGTTTGATAAAAATTTAGTGTAGCATATTTCTGTCATTCGAATGAAAGTGTGTCCCTTTAATCGTTTCTCTGTGTCCTGAATCTGTCAGAAAACATGATATATATATATATATATTGTCACTAATGGCCATTTTATCAGACGCCATACCAACCCTAAATGTTGAAAAACTACAAAACATTTTAAATTAAATCTAAGATAAAAATTAAAATCACTGGCGCATAGATAGTGCGCTCATTTTTACGTTAAAAGCATAAGCGGTATGCATGTTTAAATTTGAAGAAAAAAATATAATGTAGCATATTTCTACCATTCGATTGAAAGTGTATCTTTTCAAGCGTTCTCCTCTGACCTACAGCTGCAAGAAAATTTGATATACAAATTGTCACCCATGTCCAGGCTTTTAAACATCAGACAAACCGTAAATGTTGTAAAGAAAGCATTGTCATATCAGCGTAACGCTACATATAAAGAGAAAGTATGGAATTAGGACCTTTTTTCTATTAAAACGGCTATTACGTTAGATTTCAGCATCGGGAAATGAAGAATTCGGCTTATGAATAATAAAATATATCCATAATAAAGCGATACACGAGTCTATAACGTTAAATTTGTTGTATTTGTACATATTTCCTGCGTCGGAACATTGTTTATCTTGACTATTGTTTATAAACGCGTTCAAGCTCGGTTTATTACGAAGAAAACCGAGTAGATCACATGGCTTGCCACGTGACGAAGTAATTTTGGCTTGTCGTGGGAGAATTATCTATGTCAATCGCGGGCACTACACTATTGAGGTTCCAAAGGGGATGATTAAAATCGAAAATAAAAAAACTCGTGCAGAAATGCACAGGAATTGATACTTTATCTGTACACATTAATAGATATTATTTACCATTCAACATGTGCCTATGTGTTTATTATAAATGTTATGTTTATCATCTCGTTCGATATTCTCACAGTAACACCAGTACCGTCATAGTTTTACACTTAAAACGAATACCCCTAATTAGACCCCATCTTGCATTCAACAACAAACACACGTTGTCGAGAGTAAATTCAACTATTTTAAATATTTATCAGATAACACATATAGTAGTGTTGTTCATAACATATTTACGCGTCAAACACTGGATATTGGATTATAATCAATGACAGGCGGATACGTTATAATTATGGTGCTAACGTTAAGGTAACCAGTCAAGCAGCAGCTTCGCAAATTCCGAATCCAAATTCAGTCCAAGATCCTCTTTCATCTTTTGCCATTTATCGATCTCCTGCCTAATGTTAATTCTTGTCTGTCCTCTTTTCTGGTCTGACTCCTTCCTCTTACGCTTTATGGCATTTTCTGTGAGGTAACTTTTAGGTCCTCGTCGCCTTTTCGTATTTGCGTCCACCATATTGCTTCTTTCTAGGCTTATACGCATGCGCAGCATTAGGGTTACAAGCGGTAATGTTTGAATTAGATCAAGACTGCACTGCTTACATTCTTTATCTTTGGTTGCAATGACTTTTAATTTTAGTAAGTAACAGAAAGTCTTAGTTTGTAACAGACTTTTGGAAAATAGAACGTTTTATATCGTTTTCTCGTAGTGTGTTTTAACATTATAGTCGCTTTAATTTCCAATTATATTCTTTAACATTCTGATATTCTAGTTAGGAAACAATGTTGTTTTCATTTTAGGTCGGTAGTTCTGGACTGCTTATATATGGACTTTTGAACGAGTTGGGGGCTTTGGTTTTAACAGATTGTACGTCTCGTCTCACTGAAAGGTATCGAACAATGCATATCTCCTTCAAAAGTGATCGTCATGCTTTGCAGGTGAAACATTCACTCGACAAGTGTACATGCAGTGACATTTGGTACTTTGCTTTTTTATGTTAAATACACATGTAGCTCTTATAATAATGGAAAATACAACTTCAGGTAATCGATCTGTATTTGAACACTAATACATAGTTTGTGATTTTTATTGATCATAGAACAGGTGAGAGATACAGTGATATCGGAACAGTAGCCGAGATGAGTATGAAGCTGGGGCCTCCCTGTTTGCAACATTACGCTGGAAAGTTCAGGTAGGTGTCTACGTTAATAGAATTTTATGCGAAGTTTAAACAAAAATGAAGTGAATACGGTTGATCCAATAAGGATAACGCGATTATAGGTCATATGAAGATAATTGTCATGCCATAATATTTTGGTATGGCTAGTCTTCATTACTCACGCTTCTGTGAAGAGACATTTTTTTCGTACATGAAATCTCATGCGCAACCTGATGCGAGATTTGTCAGTCTCGTCTGATCTGTCTGGTACATTAATGTAATATATGACATGAAGTAATGTCACACTTATCACTAATCCAGTTATATTTTTTTGCTTTTTTTTTTTGTTTGTTTGTTTGGTTTTTTTTTGTATTTTTCCCCTTTTTTTAAAGTTTTTTTTTATTATAGCATACAAGACATTACACTGCTGAAACATACTCACAGTAGTACAGGCATTTATAATTGTGATTTTTAACACTCATGATAACCTGGAGTTTGCATCATCATCATCATCATCATCATCATCATCATCATCATCATCATCATCAGTTTCATAACACCAGTGTCGACATCATCATTATAAACATAAAATTCATTTATCTCTATGAAGACATCAGTCCCTACAGTATCATAAATACAATACACTATCATCTACAAGGATGGACTGCATTAATCTCTTAACATCATTCTTGCGTCATTTATTTATACACACTCACATAAAGCATACACCAATCGCACTCATACACTGTACAGGCAGGATTTAAATCATCATGAGACAGAGGGAAAGAATAGAATAGAAAAATAGATATAAATATATATTACTTTATTTGAAATATAATTTGATGGTCATGGGTTACCTAGCAAACTTAGGGTTTGGGTGTATATAACTATTTGAAATATAGGCATATTGACATTTGATAAAATAAATTAAAACGGTGATAAATATTAAAATTGCAAGTATTTATATAAGTAACAAAAGGGATATAAGACATGGACTGCACTGCATTATATATAATATATAAATATATTTCTAAAATAGGTTTTCATTTTTGCCAAGAACTTTCAAACTTCCTCATGTTTGCTTTTATCTATATAACTTTAAACAAGAAAGTTATCTTTAATAGTCCATTGAGTTGCTGAGGTATCTGGTTTTCTAGATTAAAAACTTAATAAGAATTAGGATTTCGTTATCAGTTGGGTCACAATATTGTGAAACTAACCCCAAAAGATAATAGTCTTTGTTATATGCAAAAGGAATTAACAGTACGTCAATCAGAGATTCAAACTTCTGAAGAAGTGTTTGGACCTGTTGGCATTCCCATTAACAATGCATTATTGTCTCCTGTACCAAGTTACACAGAGGACATAAAGGGTATCTAGATAGCTTTATTTGATAAAAGATGTCTAAATTGAAACCATTGCAACTTTGATTTTAGGTAGCTGAAAATGGTACCTATTTTTTCCCCACATTTCTTGATCAAATTCAAACTTTTGATTCCATTTTCTGGCTCGTTTGACATGATTCTTGAGCAATAACACAATGTCAAAGTCTATTGAACTCCCTTGAAAAATATTTCCAGAAGGAGTAGGATACATGGATGAGACGTTCTTTCTAAATTGATATCATGATTTCTCAAAAATCCTTTGACAGTGAAAACTAGTCCATGGTACCGAAGAAAATTTATATATTTGCAAAAATATTTTCAATACTAGAAATTGTTGTTAACAATTTGGCGGGCTTTTCACTTCTTTAGCGACAAGTTGACCGGAAGTTGACATTTATCCTGATAATGATATATGAGAAAGGTTCCTTGTTTGTTAGTCTCTACAACATATCCAAAGATGAACATTGAATCTTGAAACGTTAAGGAGATATAACTACATAATAACGAAGAAATACACTTTTTAAAGGTTCAAACATATTTGACCCCTGTGACCTTAAATGTCGGTAAAGGTCATTCATATTTGAAAGCCTTATAATGTAACATCTGGTGATCAATATATCCCCAATATTAGTTCTCTAGACCTTGTGAAACTTGACAAGAAGATTGTTGAACACTGGTACCCTATTTTGTATGTTTGAACTTTGACCCCTTTCAGAAACCGGAAGTTGACATTTTGAGGGAAGTTTTTCTTATGACAATCACTAGGAAGTCTGCACAGAAGGTTTATAATCAATTTTCATCTTTGTATGCCTTCTAGAAATTGAAAAACTTTCATTTCACGATTTTTAGTTAATTGGCATCTGTGACCTTGAAAGTGGGTCAAGGTCATTTATATTATCAAACTTTGTTGCCAGTTACATATGCTTCATATGTGTGAAATATAGAGCCTCTAGGCCTTTCAGAACTTGAGAAGAAGTTTTTCAAAGATTGGTACCCTTAATAGCAATTTTCAACTTTGACCTCCTACCGCAAACCGGAAGTTGAATTTTGAGGTACGTTTCTCTTATATCACTCGACAGGAAATGTCCACAGAACATTTATGTCCAAAGTTGAAGACTTTGGGCAGCTTAACAATGGAGAAATTACCATTTAACGATTTTTACATAATTGACCCCTGTGACCTTGAAAGTGGGTCAAGGTCATTTATATTGACAAACTTGATAAATAATTGATCAGACATCTTACACATGAAATATCAAGACTCAAGGCTTTGCAGAACTTGAGAAGAAGTTTGTCAAAGTTTGTAACTTAAAATAACACTTTTGAACTTTGACCCCTACCGAAGACCGGAAGTTGACCTTTGATCCCAGATTTTTTCTTGTGAAAAGTGTTTTCTTATTATTTTACTTAATATGAATAAAACTGAGGTCACTAGCTGAAACAGTTTTTGAGTTACGGCATTTTAGGTAAAATCGGATATGACGTCATGGCGGCCATTTTGTTTTTCCGATGAATTTGAATATGTCACTAAATAGTAGAAGACATCTGGGGAAATCTTTTCAGTTACAATTTTATAAAATATAGCCCATCAATATTGATCTAGAACGAGTTTTTCCTATTTGTCGGCATTTTTAAAAGATCAAAGGAAATTTTTAAAATGGTGTACAGCGGAAATGGCTAAGGTTTCTGAAGAACTGAAAACACTAAATTCATCGGAAGGACGTTCTGCATCGATCTGAAGAAGAAAAATTTTAAAAAGTTCAAAATTGAAAAAAATTAAAAAATTTGTTAAATTTTGAAAATTTTATCCAACAGCGAGCTTTTTTATTTGACATATTTTCTGATAACTTGTCTGACAACAATTTAGATAATGAAATTCTCTACAAATAATATAATTGCACAAACTCTATATAATCAAAGGTTTTCGAGATATTGACGTTTTAAAGTTTTTAACTTATGACGTCATGGCGGCCATATTGAATTTTTGACCTACTTAAAATATCGGCATCGACAAGTTCATATACGTATCTACAAATAAATGAATAGACTGTATGTCTAGCTTTTACAATTTAAAAGATTACGAACCCACAATATTGGAAGAAGAATAATAAGAAAAATAATAATAATAAGAAACCGAACAAAAACAATAGGTCTTTTCACAAGTTAGTGAAAAGCCCTAATAAGAAACATAACAAAAACAATAGGTCTTTTCACAAGTTAGTGAAAAGCCCTAATAAGAAACATAACAAAAACAATAGGTCTTTTCACCAAATGGTGAAAAGCCCTGATTACAGTTACAAGCTTACCTGGTGCATTGTTAACCAATTTAGTAAGCTAACATACTTTCGTATACAAACTTTGTATAGGGATAAAGGGACATATGGACAAACAATTAGGTAAGGATATATTGTTTACATGTAAGTAACAGGATTCAATTCTTAAATAAAAATCCAATTACATGTCCACACTAAGAAGAAGTTCACTATATGAACACACAATATTATTAATACACAGTTCGGTATGGGCGATATGTCCGTTCCAAAAATGTCCAATAAGTATGAGAAATCTGTGTGCGTATTTCATCGTCCGAAAATTCGGTGTTAGATCCACTAAAGCAGCGTTTCCAGAAGTTTTTTCAAGCGAGCCTAGAGTAAATTGACTAACCAGCGACACGATCATGTGACCACCCCCCACCCCCAAGTCATATTTGTAGTACATCCAACAAATTCGAAAGACCAATTTCTTAGTCAATAACGTACAAATAAATAGACAGTTATTGAAATAATGACGTGATTTTAACTTTCCAGGTTTTCAGTTAACTGCACGATATTTATAAGCTACGGCCTATTTTTACCCGACTTGATTGCCACAATGAATCTTTTTGCTAAAGATGTAAGTATACATGTCCTCTTGTAGTCTATATTTCTTTTAAATTTCACAAATGTATTTGAGGCGCTAATCGTTTCTATAGCGCGTGAATTAGGGGCCATAGTAAAAGATATACTGGGCATACATATGAAGCAACTAATGCTGGCTTAATGTATTAACTCTATGGCTCTCTGTCCATTCATTGAACATTGAAGATACAAAGATAAATTTTCTTCACCTATCGTAACACCTGATATCTTCACAATTTCCTTTCTTTCTTGTCCGCTTTTCCCTGCTATAATTTTCATTCTTTCCTTCTTGATAGCTATTTAAACTTTAATATCAATTCTCATTATTTTTTTACGCTTCCTACATTTAAATAGGGATACATTTTTACCACCGTTCATCAACCACATCCTGTCCCATTCCAAATCGATGTCATATCTTGAGAATCACTTTATACTGCATACAGTGTCCAACTTATCTGATTAAAAAAATCCAGTGTTTGTTTACACGGCAAAAGCAAAGCATTGTTCCCCTTTCTTCTCTCGACTATTATGGAAGCTAAGGTCAGCTATAACACAATAGTTGTGAAACGAAAGAAATATCAAGGTAAACCACTCAGATCAAACAGGTCAGATTGATGTGTTCTTCATTCTTTGTTTAGATTCTACGCCAATACGTTGACATCAATGACAAGCTTCTGATTGTTGCCATTTCGGTGCTTCTGTTGCCAGTCTACTTGACTAGAAGAATGAAACTAATGTCCTATTTAGCAACAGCCGGGAATATTATTCTTTTTGTGATAATTATAATATCCTTCCAACACATCTGTCGAGACCTTCCGGATACTAGCAGTAGATCATCTTATACGTTCATCGATTTTTTAACAATTACATCGTTCACAAATGACGTGATGTTTTCATATGACGGGATAGCTATGGTAAGACACTGATTTCATTCGCTTTAAAAGAGCCTTATTGAAAAAGCATGGATACTGCGACATATATTGTATCATTCGCGTTTTCCAGAGTCCCTCGGTCGTAAATCGCGTGTTTGACTTTTAATGGTTGGTTGGAAACATGTTATCTAGCATTTCTGATTTTTATAAACGGCTTCATTGTTGCAGTTTCTCAGAGGTCGTTTGATTTAGCTTTTGCATAACACCAGTAAAAAATTAATACAAACTAAGAGTTATCATATATGACAAAATGACATATAAACTTACTGTTCACTAAGTATTACCTTATTTTAGGTTCTGCCAATACGAAACAGAATGAAGAGTATGAAGAACTTTGACGGCTGGAATGGTATTCTAGGACTTGCTCTTGTCTTTGTTATCAGCTTTCATGTTGGCTGTGGATTTTATGGATACCTGAAATTTGGCGAACTAACACAAGTTACTTATATATTGAACCTAACAGAGAATGATTGGTACGATTTTTCAACAAACAACATATTCAGGATAAAAGTATACTTCAAATGAGGGCGAAATATTAAAACACATCATAACACGATATCATATAGTGGTGTTGGCGCCGCCATCGTGTGATCATCACTAGATCTATATAAGCCTAGTCTTTTCTCTATTTTATTAGGCCACCATCATCTTTCCGTCCGTAAACAATACTTGTTCTGTCTTAAGATGTACATCACGGATCTTTCCCATAATGGCTGACAAGATGACCATCTTTGATTTTTACAATGGAAGTTTGTTATCGCTTTTTCTTGAGAATAACAGTATGGCTCTTTCTCAAATTTCATATGTAGGTTTTCCATAGTCCTTGATTGTGTCGCTTTCATTTCGGAGACTAATCAGAAAAATGAAAGTTTGTTATCGCAAGTTTAGAGAAGTATTGAATGGATCTTCCTCAAATCTGATCGATGAAACCAAATGTATGACTGGTAGAAAACCTTGATAGTGATACCAATTTTTTTTGTTATCGCTATTTCTAGATAAGTACTGGTTGGATATAAAATTCCTGATTTCTTAAACTTAACTAAACTAAACTTGAACTTAGAATTTCAAAAACAAAGAAGAGAATAGAAATAAGGGTAAAGATCCATCTTTAAAAAACAACTAAAGACCAAAAATCTTCTTTCCTCAGAGTATAAACTCAGTCCATTGATCCATCAATGAAAGAAACTCAAACTGATGTAAACAGTGAGTCTCAGCCTTTGGTCGATAAGGAGCGTGTCCACATAGGGAAGATAGATGTCATAATTGAAATCCAACTTCGTTTGAACCTACAGTTTTTACCAACTTAATTTAAAACATCGTTGGGTGAAAGGACTCAGTTTTATGTAAATCGAGGATGTGTAAAGTCCAGTTTGAGAAACAGAGGTATGAGTCAGATTTCAAAATCATGGGGGTTTGATTTTGTTTCAACTTATTCTTATTACGTAATAAGGTTTAATAACTTACCTTGCTTAGTTTTAGAAAAAAATCTTCACAAACTTCAAACATTGAAATATAAATATTATTGAAATAGGGCATGCACTTCTAGAATCCACACACATGGACATGAATAAAATCTTTAGGGAAAAAAACAACCAGAAAATGTTTTGACCATAAAATAACGTCTGAAAACAGTCTCTGACCGGGCGATTGAGTGAAAACTGATTTTATAAGTTCACCAAAACTATCTGCTTATTACAAATGATTCTGGAGAAATCCATTCATCACGCGATATGTACAATCAGTGAACAAGGCCACAGAATTTAGGTACGTGACATTCTGTTTACCCACGCGTAAATAACATTGGACACGAACTAGAACTTTAAGAAATTCCATGAATAGGGGTTGATAATGCTGCTAATGGGAGACTCATGTAAGTTAACTCAACCTACTTCCTCATATACCAATGCAATCTTGTTTAATGGTCAATAATTAGGAATGACAAGTCCTAAACTCATCTTCACTCTCGCTAAACGTTAAGAAAAAAGCTGTCACAAAAATTTTGAGTGCGTGATTTTTTTCAGGATTTCGAAGTCCTTGAAGATCCTTTCATTTCTTACCTCGTACTTGACAATCGGATTATCCGTGTTTGTAGTAGCAGAAATAATTTGGACATATTTGAAGGAGAAGTTCACTAATGCGATCGTTCAGAACTATGGCGAGTTCATTTGCCGAGGTATTCTGCTGATTTTCTCATGTAAGTATAGCAGAAAAAAATGAAAATACTATTTTTACAATACGTAACATGTATCTAACTTACCATGACCCTATTTAGGTTAAGATTTAATATATAAATAATGCTAAAAATGACTTTTGCCCTAAAGACCGTCTTTCTGTTGATAATCTATTAAAATTGAAATGATGTAGTAGACCTGAATTTTGTCGATCGAAGGTGACCAGATAGCTCCCTTGGTAGCACGTCTATCTCGAATGCAGAGGGTCTCCTAAAAGGTACAAGGAGAATAAGACCAGGTATTCTGGAAGAGTAAACGTCTTCTGCTTCACGTTCTCAAATGAGGCAAGGCCTACCACAACGGAAACAACTGGCGAATTAACGAACATCAAATACGTCCAGCTCTCTGTCGCACAAATAAATAAAATATTTCTTAATGATATCACTATGTCGACCATAAAATTTCCCCATAATTTTTATCATCTGCATCTATTTAACCCGTGTTACGAGTTTGTCGGTCAATTGACGACTTCTTCCTTCTAAAGTTGACACACATATATTTCCCATCTGTTTATGTGATACTAATCTGAGGGAAATTGCAATAACATGCACGTAACAACGCCTTCATATGACTTGACCTGATTAGCATTTCATACTGATTTTATTGTCAGTGTCATTACATGTGTCAGTTAAATGCTAGTGGGAAATAAATTTAAAATTGTGCTATACAAGTCGTCTTGTAAAAAGATAAGACATTATTTTTATTTTCTTTGAAGGTGCATTCACGATTTTGATCCCAGAGTTCCAACTGCTGATATCATTGACAGGATGTTTTGGAGCAAATTATGCAACACTTGTCGTTCCGTTTGTCATTAAGATGTTGATGTTGTATAACGACGAGGGGTCTTTGTTACCTGTGGACAAACTGAAAAGGAAACTGACACTTTTCTGCTGTTTAGTGATACTCCTGGTTGGCATATACTCGGTGGTTGCGGGGACGTGTGCTGCTGTATACATGGCTGTTTGGCATATCGTTCTGTAAATTTAGTGATATGCTTGTTACTACTAAAAAGAGTGTACTTTATTGTAAAAACACATTTGAAATAACCCGCTTAGACATGATCTTTATTGGTTTTTATTTTCTTATTTCTCTTTTCTTATTTTCTCCCTTGTTCCCATTCACTGTATCTCTGTTATTTGTATTAAATTAATCATACAACATCCTTAATACATCCAAGGAAACCATTCAAAGATGCCCACTTTTGGGTTATTTTTTCCAATCAACTCTAAACTCGTGACTGCAAGGTACCAAGTGTTACCTGCGCATATCCACGAGATACGTATGGTTCGTTTATAAACATAGGATACCAAACTTAAACTGTCAAGAATCCAAGATTTTATTCGATCGGCCACTTAACTCTTCACACTAGTATCAAACATTTCTACGAATCAAGAGGAACCTATTGCAATTTGAAGATTTTCATTTTCCAAAGCGACTTATGACATCACATTTTTTGAATAAAAATTCATATCTGATATCATTTGTAGTATTTCTTAAGCATCCTTATATATCCATAAAACACTCATGAAAATATATATTATTCAACTTTAAAAAGAAGCAATTTCCCTGCATATTTGAAGTAAGATATAAAGTTTGAGATTGTACAAAAGAGACACAAGTAAATAGCCTTATTGAGAAAGATACAGCAGAGCAAAATTGTTTTATTCTTCTAGGACTCGTCAGTGATGCTAAGGGCTTACATTTTGAAGCCTATGAGCCTACTAAGAATACCCCAAAGTGATCAAAGGAAAAGTAAAAATCTAGAAGGAAAGGTGCAGCAGCCCCGTAATTAAATAAATTTCATAATTTTCATATACCAGATAATTTTAGAATAACGTCAAATACATGTGACTTTTCCGAACCGTGCCACTATTCGAATGAAATGAAACGTGTCATACAGGTAACGGCAAACCTCAGGGGCTTAAAGTCTATCAGCAGTGTCTAACACATACTATCTTAAAGATTGTAACAAAAGACACACATTCTAATAGCAGCCTCTTTATAATTTAGAGTAAAATACAGTAGAGCCGAACAATGAATTAAAACTGCATTATGCAGCTGTTTTGTTCTTCTAGAACAAAAGAAGTAAAAACCCTTTTATGTTGGAGTTTTTAATTACTTAAACCTCTAAAATTTACATAACTGTGTTGGAGGGCAAAATTATGAGTAGCGTTTTGACTTTTTTACGGAGTTTGAATTGAATGCCCACAAAACCGATACAATATCAATATAGGAGCATAATTATAATTCAAACTCTAATTCAATACAACTAGGTCAAGATTTGAACTAAAGGAAGATTTACACGGAGGCTCCTGAAAGAGCACAGCGTGAGTTTTGTCCATCAGTTTGTATCTTGCATGAAAATCGTGATATTCGGAAAAGACCGTTGAGTATTGAATCAACTGTGACATGTAAACAATATATTTTGGATATTCATTATAGGGAATTTGAAATCACTGGATTATTCATACCGCTTGATGGAAAGCTCTCCATGTTGGTAGAAAGCATCGAGATAAGTGGTTGATGTAAGAGCCATGTGTTTGCTTTCCAATTCTTGAATACGATTGACCTTGTCAATGCATCAATCTCAAGACAAGACGTCATCGATATATCTGAAAGTGAAAATAAACGACTTTGATCGATAAATTCAGCTTCGTATAAAAAAAGGCCATATATGGAAAGTAGCTTAGGGATTTCCTTAACTTATTGATGTTTTTGCACAAGCCAGGTTTTTAAAAAATTGTTAGGAAGATGAGTTTGCAAGTAAGGGAATGGATGCTATTAACAATGTTTTACACCAGAAGTCTTTTCCAACTAACATCCCACTATACTTTAAGGAGCAGAAATACTATTTATTACGTTTTTGCCATGAATTATAGAGATATATCTCATTGATAAAAGTGCAATATTTCACTATTGAATGCTTGCATGTTTTCCACTGTATTTTCAGAAAGCAGTCCGGTGATTTCTGACTAAATATTGTTTCTCCATTTTTTGGAATAATATAGTGAACTTAACATGAAAACCTATTGATATGTGAAATTTGTCATTTCTGCTCTAAAATTCGATAAATCCCCAGACTATATATGGTGTTTAATCTGAAAATAGTTTTTTTGCATATAATCATAACTCGGTTTATTTTCACTTGGCATAAAAATATTGAAAACATATATGAATGTCAGGAGGCCAAAATTTCTGAAATTCATATTTTGGTTTAGTGATGATATTTTGACGTTTTGTAGTTGAGAAAGCAATTTATAAGCAAAAGAAAATCATGTTCCTGCACGTCTTTCACAACGAGCGTCAGAATATGTATAATTCGAAATTTACAATTTCACTTATCTTCAATTCTTTCGTGAATAACAGATAATGGGATAAAAAAGAAAAAAATGAAATTTTCATTTGACTTTTCGAACAAAGAATTAAGGAACGAAGACATGACAAAGGCAGAGGTAATTCCTTCTATTTCCGGATGAATATCAGGAAACAAACCACTCTTCATTTTAAGGTTCCAAAATCAAGGAAACTGATCCACCAAGTCAAGATTCACGTATTTCAAATATTTGGTTTGTGGTGATAAGTCATATCTAATCAGAGTTGTATTGTATACACAAGAGAAATACGTTAAAACTTTATATTTTTTCCAGGTTGTACACCATCATACCACATTCGAAACTGAAGGAACTGCGTTATAAATATATCGTTGTGAACTATACTAACGCGTATTTCGTAAAATTTACGTCCAAGTCAAAGGATAAATATACGTACAACGAAATCATAAAAATGATCGAGTTTTTGATTGACAACATCTTCGTCGAGTTTGGTTGTAAGATCTTCTAACAGACAATTGGAAAACATGGAAACCAACCACGCCTCTCTGTTGCTGACTTGTTTTTGTTTTCATACGGGGCTGAATTTATTGTAGACCTTATTAAAACAGGTCTCAAAGACCTTGCAAAGTCGTTAAATTTCACCTTCAGATATATATAGATCACGTCTTGTCTTTAAATACCAAGAAATTTATTGACTACGTCCAGCGTGTACATCCATCAGGATTGGGAATCAAAGATACAACAGATTCTTCTACATCAGCTGCTTATCTCGATCTTTTCCTGCAACAAAACCAACATGGACATCTTTCCATCAACTGGTATGATAAACGTGATGGATTCAATTTCCCTATTGTGAATTTTACATTTCTGGATAGCGATAAACAAGCATCTCCAACCTATGGTATCTACATATCACAGTTGATTCGATATTCAAGGGCCTGTTCCAGTTATCATGATTTTCATTCAAAGAAGTCGTCAAACGACTGACAACCTCGTACCACAAGGGTTTTTGTGCGACATGAAACAGAACGTATTTGATGCTTGTCAGTTTGACTATTGGTTCCGCTGTTGTTTCTCTTGTTCTCATTTGAGAACATGACAAGATTTACATGGCAGATGTGGTCGATGAAGCTGAAGACGCTTACTCTTCAAAAACACCTGATCTTATTTCCCTTGAACTTTATGAGTCTCCGTGTAAATCTTTTTTCGTTCATATTTTGCCCTAACTTTATGGAATTTTAGATTGAATTATGATTGTGTTGTCATGTTGGTATGTTCTTCATGTTTTTAAGTAACGATACAATTAAAATTGCAGACACAATTAACCAAGTCATGACGTCAATTACGCAGTCAAAAATAAAGCCCATCAGAATAAACTAAGATATCTAATCTTAATCTTTAAAAAGGTGCGATAAATATTTGTGTGGTGAAAACCTTTACTTGGCTTGCAGCAATAAAATTTGCATAATTACATGTGTCAGAACTTACTTATGCTACTGGCTATGGTAAGAAAAGTACTTCTCTCTCATGAAATAAACTTGTTGTCCTGCGGAATAAAGCTTCTGCCTGCATATTTTTAAAACTTCCGGTGGAATTAGGCAAGGTTCGCCAATATTGGTTTTGTGTTAGGATGTAAATTAAAATTCATAAAATCAATTAAGTCTGCATTTCACTTTGCCTATATATACATACAAAGTAAGTATTTCGTATCCTTTGATTTAAATTTTCACAATAAAAAAAAAAAAAAAAAAACGTTTGTTTGCATTTTTGTCGGATGCGGAAAAACACGACAATCCAAATCTATCTCTTTGTAGTGTACCCATTCCGGTTGTTGAGTAAACTAAATTCTACGTTGTAACATTCGACAGGAAATTGTCATTCCTTCCACATATATAGTATCGTAAAGCCAAATGCCTTATGACACTGAATATTCTAAAGGTAGTGTCCACACTAGTTGAGGAGCTGATAGAAAAGTTTTGCTAATACCGTATAGAACTCTTATTAGATCAAAATTAGACTATGGTTCCATTGTGTATTGATCTGCTTGACATTCATATCTCAAATGATTAGACACTATTCATCTCCATGGTCTGAGGCTTGCTCTCGATGCTTTTTCAGACCACGCCTTCAGCAAGCCTCTATGTAGAGGCCAACAAACCATCACTATATTGCAATACACACTTCAACTAAATCAAATCCTTACAAACCCTGCTTTTTTGTCCAAAATATAAAACCTTGTTTCAAAATAAACCAAAGACCATCCCACCAATCGGGATTTTCACTCTTTTACAAGACACAAATATTGATATTGCCCAAATTCAGTCATTTGAAACAATAGAAATTCCATCCTGGCTCTTGAACTCACCTGAAATTGACTCTTTACTTCATGGCCATGGTTACACAAGATGAAGCTTATGGATGCCGGCTTCCAAGCAACGCCTCAAAATTCTCGGCGAGACAAGCAAAGTCATGAGAGTAATGAAAAAGATCGAAATATTTTCATTCGTAATACATCAATACTAAATCATGAACTTACCTTAAACGTTCGTATTGTTTTTTGCTGGGTTCCCGGACACATGGGAATACCAGGCAATGGAAAAAACATCGTGGCCCAAAGACAGCTTTATCGCTACCACCTGTTGTTTTTAC